AGCGTTCTAGGTTTCAGGTGAGAGTTCACTCGTAGGTCCGGTCTCTAGGAGAGAAGCAGCAGGGTTGTCTTTGTGAGCTTTCTGGAGGAAGTGAGCTCAAAATGGGGAGACAGCCTAGCAGAGGCAGCGAGTGGTGGTGCTGGGCTGGGCAGAGTAGAAGGATGAATGGAAACACAGCAGAGATTTGGGGTTTGACTCCTGAGGTCCCAGCTCTTCCAGCTTCACTGCGTGACTGGGTTGTCCTTGCCCCTTTTTCGACTCTTGGAACTGGCTCTCTCAGTTTCCTGAGCCAATCCATCCACCTACTGGAGGAGGATGACAGCCTGTACTTGCATCTCTGCCTGGAATGACCAGGTAGGCTGGGTGGCCAGGGGTTGGAGGCGGGTTTCTTGAGGCCACAAGCTAATAACCGCTCTCCCTGCCCCAGGGGTATGAACATACAGCTGAGGACCCAGCACTACGTGTACCGTGTGGGGGACCATGCCTGGGTTGTTGGGTGCTCAGAAATCCCTGTACAAGAGGAGCTTGAGCCCAAGTGCCCACACCGGAAAAGTACTCAGAGAAGATAGGGTAAGTGGGCTGAGTCCTCCCAGCTTAAGGACATCTTAACCTTTATAACTCTACTCCCGCCAGCTCTGTGGACTGGGACATGTGATGCGGATGCCTGAGCAACGCCGGGCCGAGAGTGCATCATCCCGGACGTTTCCCGGTTTACCACTTTGGCATCGTTGGCCTCAACATGAACGGTACTTCCACGTGAGTCGCAGGCAAGGGGTGGACACTGGATGGCATGATGGTCAAGAGCACTCCCAACTCTGCCAGCTTGTAAGCCATGTAACCTCGTGGAAGTAACTATCCCTTTTTGCCTCAATTCTGTATCTCTAAAATGAGGATAGAAATACTACTCCTCATAGAGTTATGGGTTTAAATGAGTTAATATAATGTAAAATTCTTTGAATTGTAACCATTATGTAAGGGTTGGTGGTATGTATTTTTATTTTTATATTCTTAGGCACTAGGACTGTGGGTGTGGGGAGGTATTTCTGCTCGAAGCACTGGTCCAGCCTGTAAGTTCTGCCTCTCCTGTCCTTTACAAGTGCTGGGGCCCATCCCTCCGCCTGAGAGAGCAAGAAGGTCCCCAGGACACCCCCTCCTGTGTCCAGAGGGCCACTGTCTAGTCACAGCAAGGAGGCCTTGGGTCAGCCCAGTCCACAGGAATGGATAGCAGCCAGCTTGCATGTTCCTGGAAGCCAGAAGGATACTCAGACTGGCTAATATAAAAGCCCCATTCGTCTCCCAGAGAGGGCAGGCAACTACTGAGGTCACTCAGCTACCTGAGTCACAGCAGCATCTCCCTCCAGCCAGCCTGTCCCTTTGTCCATTACCCCCTGCAGAGCCTATTCCTGGCTTCTGTGGCTCTAGAATAGTAGGCCCAGGGAGAACCACTGGAGATAGGAACTGGTTCACAGGGACAGTAGTGAGCTGCCCACGGGGGCATGAGCTCTCCGGCAATGGTGGAGCCCAAATGAAAGTTAGTAAGAGCTTGCCAAGGATGCTGCGAAGAGAATGGGGAAGACAGGAGGGAAATGGAGAGACCTTTATAGGTCCAGGACTTTCATATGGTTCGTTCGTAGATATGTGGTGGGTCAGAGAGCAGTGGTGGGCCAGACAATGTGAGTCCCTGATTTACCCTCACACCCACTCCAGGAGGCCTACTTCAAGAAGCACAAGTTCAACACGGTTCCAGGTGTCCAGCTCAGGAACGTGGACAGGTGAGGGCTGACAGCAGGGCAAGGGGGAGGTATTGTCTGGAGACTCGATAACCAGTTCCTGAAAGTCCCTTCCAATCCCTGTGTGTTTACCCAGCCCTGCTGCTCCCAATCCCATGTGAACCCTTGCCCTGCTCAGTGCTACCCATGGGAACTGAGGCCTGCCCTCCTGACCCATTTTTCCCTCCCCTTCAGTCTGAAGAAAGAAGCTATGAAGTGGAAATTCACAGGGCTACTGAGGTATGCCTAGGGCTCTTGGAGTGTGTGGCAGAGAGTGAAGAGTCAAATACTGGGGATCTGTCCCGGTAACTTGCAAGGGCTGTGCAAAATGAAAATGTGGCCCTTAGTCAGAAATTATTAAGAATTTCAAGATGGCAACAACACAGCATTAGACCAAGCACAGGGCCCTGTGTGACACACACCTCATACCCTATCTTGGCCTGACTCTCAACCCCATGCAGCGAAGCTCTTCAGCTGAGCTCAGCGGCACATCTGTCTTCAACAGGACTGGGTCCCCCCAGGAAGAGAGGGCAGGTGACTTAGAATGTTTCTCCCCGAGGACAGGACCTGGTGGAAGGCAGGAATGAGGGGTCATGGGGGCCCAGACTCCAGTTTGGGGGCATCTTCCCATCTCCCTGCCCACTTTCATTCCACTGCTGCCACTGGCTCCTATTTGCCCCCTACTCCACCCCACCTACTGGGGTTCTGCGCCTCCCAGGCCCTTGATACTACAGAGTGGATGGCCTCTGACCTCCTTTTCGTCCCACGAAGGCCCAGGTGTCCCTCCAGCCCAGGGCAGGGCCAGCCTGGCTGCCCAGGCTCCGCAGCAGAGCCTTAGCTGTGTCCTTGAGGTGGAAGGAGCCCTCATCCTGGGGGAACAGAGAAGGCGGTCAGTCTGACTGGCATGGTTCCAGCAAACCTGGCCTCACAGAGCACCAACTATGTTCCAAGCACTACCAAAGCCTTGACTTAAATTAGCTCATTAAATTATCACAACAACCTCTGTGATTACTCTCTTTCACAGATAAGAAAACTGAAGGGTTAGAGAGATTCTGAGAATCACCCAAGGTTACCTGGCTAATCAGTCCTTCCTACAATCCCACACAATCTGCACCTCTGCTCCCTGCTACCTCTGCCTTCTTTTCCCACCAGTCTCCCCTCCTCCCTTATTCTGCTCCAGCTCCACTGGCATCTTTGCTGCTCCTCAAGCATGCCAAGCACTCCCCACTCTGGGGCCTCTGTACTTGCCATTCTTTCCACCTAGAATGCTCTCCCTCCGGATGTCCACCTGGCTCACTTCTCACTTCCTCCAGCTTTCTGCTTCCAACTTATCTTACAGAGGGCTTCCCTTTCTAAAGTGCAGCCCCATCATTCTGTCTCCCTTACTTTATTTTGTTCTTCATATAAGTTACCATATCCTGACATTACACATTTATTTATCTGGCTGTTGTCTGTTGATCTGCCCCTGCTGGAATGTAAGCTCCACAGGGCAGGGACTCTCTTGCTTCCCATTGTATCTCCAACACCCAGAGCAGTACCTGGCATACAGTAGGTGCTCAATAACTATTTGCTGAATTAACAAAAATGACAAGGCTAAGATTAGAATCTAAGTCACCTTCCTCCAGAGGATCTTCCCACTATGCCATATTAGGGGTGGGGAACCCAGGGCCATGAGCAGGGTTGGAGCCAGATGCATAGGGGATGGGCCAGGGCAGAACCACTGACCTTGACGGTGCAGATGAGCACTCGGCCGGGCGCCACCATGTTGAGGAACAGCACCATGGCCTCATCCTCATGAGGTGAGTATGTGTCAAACACTCGCTTTGCCATCACGTGGCCCTGGCAGGGAACACACCTCTCATGAGTTAGTGTCACTAGCAAGGAGAACCCAGCTTCGGCCCTCTGGGTCCTCGACCACTGGAAGCTCACCGTGGCCTGGTTGAGGACGATGACATGGATGCCGCGACCTTGCTCCCGGGCCTCATCCTCCAGTACCTACATGGTAGCAGAGATAACATCCAACTCTTCACTCAGGCATTCAAGGAGTCTCTGTCTTATGGGCACTTAAAACACCAGCTGCACGAAACCTCCCCTCCTGCCTACGCCTCTGTTCACACAGTTCTCTTCCGACTCAGTTTGAAGGCCACCTCTTCCAGAAAGCCTCCACAGCACCCCCATCAGAAGAGATCTCATCTTTCAACAACTCCCTCTCTGGGACTTTCCTGGTTCTTAGAGCCCTTCACTGTCTCTGCTTCATCCTAGAAGTATCACAGTCTCCATCACACTGAGACCCTTGAGGTTGGGCCAGGTCTGATTACCTCCAGGTCCCCAGTGTCCAGCATAAGGCTGAGGCCAAAGAAGGCTGTAGGACTGGTTATGAAATCAATCGGTCAATCAATTAACTGCCTACTAAGATGAATGATCACTTTTGAGATCCCACTACATGTACAACATTTCACATACTTTATGTCTAATCCTGACCAGTAGAAATTATTAGTCCTAGTCTGTAGATAAGGAAGTAAAGGCCCGGCACGGTGGCTCATGCTTGTAATCCTAGCACTCTGGGAGGTTGAGGTGGGCTGACTGCTCAAGGTCAGGAGTTCGAAACCAGCCTGAGCAAGAGCGAGACCCTGTCTCTACTAGAAACAGAAAGAAATTAATTGGCCAACTAATACATATAGAAAAAAATCAGCCGAGCATGGTGGCGCATGCCTGTAGTCCCAGCTACTTGGGAGGCTGAGGCAGCAGGATTGCTTTAGCCCAGGAGATTGAGGTTGCTGTGAGCCACTCTAGCCTGGGCAACAAAGCAAGACTCTGTCTCAAAAAAAAAAAAAAAAAAGGAAGTGAGGGCTCCAAAGTCACACCACTAGGAATTGGCAGAGTTGCAGTTCCCACTTTGGGCAGTAGACCCTGCAGCCAGTGGACCATGCCCTGAGAAGAATGAGTGACAGTACACCAGACTCCAGCCTACTCACCGTGGTGCCATCCACTGCCACATATACTTTGCTGCGGCTCGAGTACACCTCCACATCCAGGACCCGCTGGGGACCGCTGACTCTGCGCCGTGAGGGCTCCAGGTGACCTAGGGCCTCATCTGTGGGAGTGCAACAGGTCATGGAGATGGTCTCCCCACCAGAGTCACACCCCTTGAGATCTGTCTGCCACTCGGCTGTGAGATCCAGGGTCCCCCACCCCATCCTCTGCCTGGCCCCACCATAGTCTTGCTCTGGCTCCGGGTCTTCATTGGCTTCGCCGATTGCTCGCCGGGTGTCCAGGATCAACTTAATGTTGACAATGACAGTCACCAACAGGAAAAGCACGGCCCCTGTCTGACAGGAGGGGTGGGGATTATTAAGAGGAGTACCTTTTCCAGCTCATAAAGGGTCCTCCTGAAAAGAGGGCCCTGGATGCAGTAAGGGCATAGGGAAAACCTAGGACCTGTTTCTTCCTCTGTCCGCCTCTGAACTCTTTTACTCCCTTGACCAGGGGCTACTTTCATGGCCACCTCCTCAGGGAAACTCCCCTGCTCTTCCCCCCTCCATCGGGGCTCTCCCTACCCAGAGATCCTGTATTCTTCCATTGGAGGCCTTGATTTTCTTGGTCCCCTCCATGGTTAGTTCCTAGAGATGGAGCCAGGCCCAGAGAACCACGCTGGGGATCAGAAGACCTGAGGCCTAGTCCTCACTGTCTGACAGGTGTGTGCCCCGTGGCAAAGCCTTCCTGATCAGACTTCAGGTTTCTATCAGAAGCCTAGGAGTTTGTACTTGAGTTCCGATTCCAGAACTCTGGGTCCAAACCACTACGTGGTAGGGACATGACACACAGAAGTTTCCTCTCTAGGAACCTGCTACCCCTTCCAGCAGAGGGTGGCCAAGGTGGGTCCCAGGGCCCAGTTTAGGCTGGGATAAAGCTGGGAGGGAGCTGCTGGGAGGTTTGGAACTTCTCTATACCTGACAGAATCTCCGCAGGGTCCTCTGGTTTGTCAGTTTATACTTCCAGGTAAGATACCAGCTCCGCTTCTTCCGAGCCCCAAAGGGCTTGATGAGGGGGCTGGGCTTCCAGTCATCCATGCCGGTTTGGGGGGGGTCACCAATGTCCTGGACAGCCCATGACTTCAGGAATCTGAGGGGACCAGCGGGGTCACATGGGGTAAGATGTTCCTCCCAAAGTCTGATGCCTCCTGAGGAGCTGAGGGAGGACCTCCCAGCAACTCTTCCCTGTAGCAATCATGCTGTGTGACCTGGGGAAAGTGGCTCGACTACTCTGAGCCTGGCAGGAAAACCTTCAGAGGGGTTGGATCACCTGGAAATTCCTCGGGACTGGGGGAACTATCTGAGTCAAGGTTGCCCAGGGCCCCAGCGGTGGAGGCCAAATAATTGGTTCTCAAGGTTCATCAGCCCCTAAAATGACCACGTCCCAGGTTTTGGTGGCTAAAAGCACAGCGACCCCCCCCTGCCCGAATCCTCCACCCTCGCCCCATCCTACGTGGCCCCGGTCCTCTCCTCCCAGGCCCGGGGCCGCCCGAGGGCTGGGGAGACCTGCCCCGGCCGTGCTACCCCTCCCGGACCCCCACCCAGAGGCACTCACGGCTCAGGGACCCCGGGCCCCGCAGGGGCCCCACTCGGGCCCGCGCTGCTCGGCCCGGCGCGCCGCGGCCTCCGCCTCCTCCATGCCGCTCGCGGCCCCGCCCCGGCCCGGCCCGGCCCGCCCCCCAGCTTCCGCCGCCGCCGCCGCTGCGGGGTGAGAGGGCGGCGGGCGGTGCTTAGAGCGGCGGCCGCGGTGGCGGAGCGTTTGCAATACTTAGCCTCTTCTCGGCAGCTTCCCAGCCCGGCCGGCGGGTGGGCTGCCGAGAGAGAGCTGCCCGCTCCCCGGCACCGCCGATGGGTAACGCTACTCAAGTCAGAGGCCGAGCACCTTGGCCCAGGTCACACAGCATGCCGGGGTCAGAGTGGCTGCTGGCCTCGCTCCCACCTGTGCCCCGTGTAGGCATGGCGGTAACCCAAGCCTATGGCATGCACAGCCATTGGAGGCAAATGGGATTAAAATCCAGGTTCTACCACTGTTCTAAGGACTACAATGATACCTTTTTTTTTTAATTTCAAGGTATTATGGTGGTACAAATATTTTTGGTTACATGGATCACTTTCACAATGTTTGAGTCATGGTTATAAGTGTGCCTGTCACCCAGATAGTGTTCATTGTACCCATTAAGTAGGTTATCGCCCATCCCCTCCTCCCTCCTCCCCCCTGCTTGATTTCTGTTGAGTTTTACTTCCCTGGGGACTTTAATGATACTTAATTCCACAACAACTCCATGAGGTAGGCACTATTATTATCCCAGTGTCACAAAGCTCAGAGAGCTGGAACTGAAACCCAGCCTGGCTCCAGATTCAGCTCTTAACCACTGCACTCTACTGGCATTAGTAATGCTTAGAAGAGTTGTGAAGTTTAAATGGGATAATAATACCTACAAAGCATTTCGCTTAACACGATGGTTCTCAAACTTTTAGCTCGCATCACAATCACCGGAAGGACTTATTAAAGCAGAGTACTGGGCCCATCCTAGAGTTTTAGATTCAGTAGTGGGGGGCAGGGCGGGATTTTGCATTTCTAACAAGTTTCTAGATGATGTTGATGCTTGTTTGAAGTGGGTGGGTAGCCATGGAACAGTTTTAGGCAGGGAAGCAATTTAGTCCAATTTATGTTTTAAGGTAACCTCTACTATTTTGTGGAGAGTGGATTGCAAAGAGACAGACAGAAGACCATTTACACTTTTTTGAGTTCTCTCCAATCCATCTGCTTCCTGAATGGTGGGATTGTATCTCCCAAAATGTTAATAGTACTTGTCTTAGGAGTTGAAGCAATAGGTGATTTTTTTTCCCCCTAATAAGGATGTTTTAGAATGGAAGAAAATTCAACACATTTTATTAGCATTTTAAAAAGATGTCCCTGGCCAGGCGTGGTGGCTCATGCCTGTAGTCCTAGCACTCTGGGAGGCCCAGGCGGGCGATTTGCTAGAGGTCAGGAGTTTGAAACCAGCCTGAGCAAGACCCAGTCTCTACTAAAAATAGAAAGAAATTAATTGGCCAACTAAAATATATATATATATTTTATATATATATATACATATATATATATACAAAAAATTAGCCGGGCATGGTGGCGCATGCCTGTAGTCCCAGCTACTTGGGAGGCTGAGGCAGTAGGATCACTTGAGCCCAGGAGATTGAGGTTGCTGTGAGCTAGGCTGATGCCACCGCACTCACTCTAGCCTGGGCAACAAAGTGAGACTCTGTCTCAAAAAAAAGATGTCCCTCAGGCTTCCTTCCTGACCATCTTTTCTCCTCAAACTCACTCTCCATGGAAGAGCTCATTCATTCTCATGACCTTTGTTACTGTCTAGATTCCCAAACTCATGCTGGCAGTCTTAACCTCTCTCTGGAGCTCTTGGCTGACTGCTGTCCAACTGCTTGCTGGGCAACTTCCCAGCCTCTCCAACTCGACACCAAGATTGCTGGAATTCATCTCCTCCCACTCCCAGATCTCTTTTGGGTTCCCCTGGTGAATTACATCAGGCCAAACAGCTGGGAGTCACCCTTGACTCCTTATCTCTCTCTGTATTCTACAAACCATACACAGTGGCTAGCACATAGTAGCCTCTCCATAATATGCGTTGAAATCATTTATTAAAAAATAGTTAATTTGAACGCCACTATAAATGAATGTAATCAGTCACCCAGTCCTGTCAATCTTACCTCCTAAAGATCCCTCCATTCTTATCTAATTCTTCTCCAACCTCACAAGCAGCCCCTTGATCTAGGCCATTTCCATTTCTTGCTTTCCAACTAGTCTTGACGCTAGATTTTTACCGCTGCAATCCTTTTCCTCCTGCAAAATCCAAAGTAATTTTTCACAAAGGCAAATGTTTTGCCAATTTCTAATGTAAAACCCTTCCATGCATGGGTCAAGAAATACTAAGAAAAGGCTGGGCACCATGGCTCATGCCTGTATTCTGGAAGGCTAAAGTGGGAAGATCACTTGAACCCAGGAGTTTGAGATTGCAGTGAGCTTTGATGATGCCACTATACTCTACCCAGGGCGACAGAACAAGAGACTCTGTCTCAAAAAACAAAACAAAACAAAATAAAACAACCTAAGAAAGCATATGTTTGTTTTGTTTTTTTTTTTGCAGACAGAGCAGTCTTGCTTGTTGCCTGAGCGCTAGAGAGTGCCATGGACGTCCAGCCTAGGCTTACAGCAACCTCAAACTCCTGGGCTCAAGCGCATTCCTCTGTCTTTCTGTCTCAGCCTCCCAAGTAGCTGGACTACAGGCATGTGCCCACAATGCCCGGCTAATTTTTTCCTATATATATTAGTTGGCCAATTAGTTTCTTTCTATTTATAGTAGAGACGGGGTCTCGCTCTTGCTCAGGCTGGTTTCGAACTCGAGCAATCGCTCCCGCCTCGCCTCCCAGAGAGCTAGGAGATTACAGGCGTGAGCCACCCGCGCACCCGGCCGCATATGTTACTTAAAATTACAAAGGTAACCATTAGGTGAACTAAAAGTAATGATAGAAATATATAGGGCTGGCCGGGCATGGTGGCTCACGCCTGTAATCCTAGCTCTCTGGGAGGCCGAGGCGGGCGCGATTGCTCGAGGGTCGGAGTTCGAAACCAGCCTGAGCAAGAGCGAGACCCCATCTCTACTATAAATAGAAAGAAATTCATTGGCCAACATGCAATATATATAGAAAAAATTAGCCGGGGCATGGTGGCGCATGCCTTGTAGTCCCAATACTCGGGAGGCTGAGCAAGCAGGATTGCTTGAGCCCAGGAGTTTGAGTTGCTGTGAGCTAGGCTGACACCAGCGCACTCACTCTAGTCTGGCCATCAAAGCGAGACTCTGTCTCAAAAAAAAACAAAAAAAGAAAAGAAATGTATAGGGCTAATGGGAGGAGGAAAGTATGAGTATAGAGTATGAGTTAAGTCCATATATCCATATTTATCTTTTTGTTTGTTTGTTTGTTTTTTTGAGACAGAGTCTTGCTTAATTGCCCAGGCTAGAGTGAGTGCCGTGGCATCAGCCTTGTTCACAGCAACCTCAAACTCCTGGGCTCAAGCAATCCTCCTGCCTCAGTCTCCCCAGTAGCTGGGACTACAGGCATGCGCCACCATGCCCGGCTAATTTTTTCTATATATATCAGATGGCCAATTAATTTTTTTCTATTTATAGTAGAGACGGGGGTCTCACTCTTGCTCAGGGTGGTTTCGAACTCCTGACCTTGAGCGATCTCGGCCTCCCAAAGTGCTAGGATTACAGGCGTGAGCCACCCGCCCGGCCCATATTTATCTTAATAGCAAGTCAGTGGACAATGTTTAAAATTGAGAAGTAGTGTGGCTGGGCATGGTGGTGCACTCCTCTAATCCCTGCTACTCAGTAGGCTGAGGTGGAATGATGGCTTGAGCCTTGGAGTTCAAATCCAGCCTGGACAACATAGCGAGATCCTGTCTCTAAAAAAAGAAAAAATAACAAAATTAGTGGTATAAGGTTATTATTTAGAGTTATGAGTAAAAATACCAAGAAAAAAAAACTCAAAATGGTTGCCAGTGGGGAGTGGGCCTAGAGGTGTGAAAGGGTAGGGCAGGGGTAACTATCTTCTCATTGTAAATCCTGTAACCATGGGCTGGAATTAGTTGGATTAAAAGCCAAAACACACCAAAGTTTTTCATGGCTCCTCATTGCTCTTAGAATAAAATCCAAACACTTTATTTTATTTTATTTTTCCTGAAAAAATGCTGACTGAGAAATCCAAACACTTTAGAACCGTGTTCTATAACCTTGTTTCTCAAAGTGTGCTCCCTGGACCAGTAGCATGGCCATCACCTGGGAGCTGGTTAGAAATGCAGGTTCTCAGGCCTCATCCCAGCTGTACAGAATCAGAGCCTGCATTTTTAACAAGATTTGCAGATGATTCATATGCACAATCAAGTTTAAGAAGCATCTTGTAAGCCCAAGATCAAGCCCATGTGGATCTCTTCAGCTTCACCTGTGCTCCTCACTGGTTGCGACTTTCCACTTCTTTAGTCTGAATTCTAGCCTGGGTGGGAAGCTAAATTCCAGCCATCGATTTAGACCCACTTCATCTGCTCCAGGAAGCCTTCCAGACCTTCTGCAACTCTCTTGTATCACTGTTCCTTAAACTCCCACATCCCTGACTGACTGAAGCTGCTGTCTTCATTCAGCAAACTTATTTATTGGGCACCGACTGTGTGCCTGGCTGGATTCAGTGCCAGGATGAGCGAAGGCGCTGAGGTCTCCCAGTGTTCCTTGAGGTCCAAATCCAGGATCACCCAGCCACACGCCACCCAAGGCCAGAAGTTGTGTGCGCAGCGCTCGGATATATATCTACACACGGGGCTGCGCGGCTTTTCTGAGTGTTACGGTGCCCTCCTCCCGCCCCCGCACCGCGCGGGCGGGGACCCACCGGTTCCGCTCCGCTTTAGCGGCGGCGAAGGGAGGACCCCAGGGAGCAGGACCCCGGCGTCCGGTCGCCCAGCCGTGTTCAGGCTTGGGCCCGCATGGAGGGGACAGTGGAGTCCCAGACACCTGACCTGCGAGACGTGGAGGGCAAGGTGGGCAGGAAGACCCCCGAGGGGCTGCTCCGCGGGCTGCGCGGCGAGTGGGAGCCAGGAATCTCTGGCGCCCTGCTGCTCCCGGGGGAGCCTAGCTCGGGCCACGGGCTCGGGGACAAGATCATGGCGCTGAGGATGGAGCTGGTGAGTGTGCACTCTGCGGGCCAGGGGGATGAGTCCCCATCGTAGGGCCAGAAGGGACGAACTCACGCCCCCAGAGTTAGGCTGGAGAGGAAGGAGTTAAAACTCCCCACCTAACTCCTCAGGATCCCTCCCAGATCAATCCGTAAATCCTGGGGTGTAGAGGAGTGACGTCCATTAATTGCCCCCCCCCAGGGTGAGTGGGCTATTTGTTGATGGGTCCTGGGGACTTGGGGTGGGAGGCACAGGCTCTTGGAAGTTTTTCCTGTCAAATAACTGGCAGCGGGGAGGTGAGGGCTGGGAAGTTCTGAGAACCTAGTGTAGCATAAATCCTCCCCCACCCGTACAGGGCCACCTCTTCCCCCAGCCCCTGTGTGTAAGGCAACCAACCAGTTTTTCTCCTCCTGCCAACCGGGAAAGGGTTTGGTTCCTGTGAGGCTGTGGTGCTCTTCAGCACAGAAGAGATTTGGGTAAAGGGCGTATCTGCTGAAAGCTGCCTGGGCTAGGGGCACTGAAAACATCCTCCCTTTCCTCAACATCTCTCCGGCCCCACTTAAAATACTTGAAAGTTCCTAGACCCATGGCAGAGACAGTAGTGGCAGCAGCCACGGTATTTATTCCCTCACCTCAGATTCAATCTCCTCCCTGCCAGCCTCCCAGGTAAACTGGATGTTTGGATCTCATCTGCACCTTCTTGGGGAGGAGAAGAGGAAACAGCAACCCTTCTCTTTCCCTGTTGCTGCCGGTCTAGATTCAGAGCCAAAAGGGCAGCTGGGGCCCCAGCAGGCTCCCCAGGGCTGCGATTCCGTGAAGGGGGTGATTTACACCTGCCACCACTTTGCAGCCCGTTCTGGAGAACTGAGGACTTGCCAGCCACTCCTGGCTGAGAACCAGGAGCTCACAGTGACTATGTCAGCTAATAAGTCTTCCTGGAGCCCCTATGTATGCCCAGCTCTGTGCCAGGCTGATCTGTGCGGGACCAGAGGGAGAAGGTCATGGGGGTTCCCAGACAAGCCAGGGCTCTGACCTGAGACAGAGGGTGGGAGGGTGGCAGGAGAGCCTGGTTGTGGAGCAGTCAGGGAAGGCTCCCGGGGGAGGGGGGGGGGACTGGAATGCCAAGTGTGTACTTAGCCTTGAAGGTTGGAGGTGAGTGCCAGCTCTCCAGAGTGGGGCTGTGGCTGTCCCCATCTAAGCAGGATGAGGGCTTAGCTTTGCCTCATTGTACAAACTGTAGGTCAAGGCCTAGAAGAGCCCACTTAGACTGTCTTGCTTTGAAAACTTTCACCGCATGCATGTGTCAGGCATCATGCTGAGCACTTTATGTGATATTCCTTTTATCTTCACAGCAACCCTATTAGGTAAGTGATATTTTATAGATGAAGAAACTGAGGCACAGAGAGATTAAGTACCTCATGCCTGAGGTCATGCAAAAAGTAAAAAGCAGGCCAGGCACATAATCCTAGCACTTTAGGAGGCCAGGAGTTTAAGACAAGCCTGGGCAACATGGCGAGAACTTGTCTCTACCAAAAAAAAAAAAAGTAAAAAGCAGAGTCAGGCTTTGAACCCAGATCATCTGATTACATTTTACATCTTTACCATTGAGACCTGCTTAGTGCCAGACACTTTAAACACATTGTATGCCATTGAAATGAGAAAAGGGATCATTATTTCCCCCATCTCACAGGTGAAACACGGTTGCAAGTGTTTGGGGGCTTGTCTGAACTTACACAGGGAGTCAGCGGAGGAGCCACACCTACACACCTAGCCTCACTGGCTGTCTTTTCTGCCCCGGTGGAAACTACCTGTTTGTAAACTTTAAGGGGGCACATTGGACTCTGATTTTGTCTCTCTGTATTCTTGACCCAGCTGGCCTGAGGCTGCCTGTGAAGGGAACAAGGGAGGGAACCTTCTGGGGCCAGAGCAGGGAGAGGATCCCTACCCCATTCCTTTCTCCTCCTAGGCCAAGATGTCATTAATCCCTTCCTGTGCTCTGCCCTGTCCAGTGGGTTGTACCCAGGAAGGACAAGGGGCGGGGCAGGGGGGTTTCCCTTGGAGCCACTGGAGGCAGGACTGGTCCAGGCCCTCTAAGGACTGTCCTTCAGTTGTCCCTCTCCCAGCTGTCCTTGCAGGGAGTGGGCAGGCCTGCCCATGAGGCCAAGGTCAGTCCTGCCTTTAGGCCTCTTTCCTCTTGCCCACACCCCGTTCATTCAAAGGTTGAGTGAACAGGCCAGGCTGGGATATGTGGGAATGGGAAACAATGGCAACCTCCCCTCCTTAGTTCTCCCACCCAAACAACTGTTACTACGACAACCCACCTCCACAGAGCAATTTGACAAAAAGCTTTAGACAAGGAAGGGGAAGACATGGGTTCAAGTCCTGCCTCTGCTTCTGAAACATTTTGTGGTCTTGAGCGAGACCCTGTCTCTCTCCTGGCCTGTTTTTCTTCCTTATGGTGGTGGAAGTATAGAGAGGTGGGGACTGTGGAACCAGATGATCTGTAGGAGCCTTTCAGTAACAATATTCTGACAATCAACCACCAGGGAGCTGGGACTGGGATCTCCAAGCTTTTACCCCAGGGCCTGATTTGGATTGAGCAAAAGGGAGGCATACCTGGATGCCAGGGCAGGGAGAGAGCCTGATCCGTAGATGTTAAGGGCAGGAGCAGGGAGCTTGAATCCCCCTGGGAACAGAATTGGGTTGGGGTAGCCACTGAGGCTGCATCTCTCCTGAGCTGTTTATCCTTTACTCCGTTTCTAAGAGATGGTATGAAATGAGTGTTTCTTTTTCTAGCAAGAAAGCCTGGCTCTTTTCTATTCTGGGGAGTGATGCTGTCACAGTCAGGGAATCCCACTGTCACAGAATTATAGAATCTGGTCCTCAGATTCATTTCCCAGCAACACAGTATAACTCAGGCCCCTGAACTCTGGGGACCACCAGAGGGAACAAGGACAGGAAGGGCAAAAGAATCACAGAACTGAATGTGACCTACCCAACCCTCGGCTGAGCACCAGAAATGAATTGAGCAGGACCTGCTCTCAGGGAGCTCATTCAGTCTGGTTAGGGAAGTGGGGAGAAAGATTAACAACTCTAGTATAGGATGATAAGTGCTGTTGGAATGCAGGAAGGGCCTCCTGGAAGAGTCTTGACCATAGAGTGATATGGCTAGGTCTGTGCTCTGGAAGGCCACTCAGATTAGAGAGAGGAACAGGCTGTCTCCTCTGGTTGGAATGCTTCTCTCCACCTCTTTGGCTAAGTCCTACTTAACCTTCAAGTCTCGGCTCATGTCCCTTATCCTTGAAAGCATTTCCTGACGTCCCCCAGTTCGGTTATGGCCCTCTAGGTACGACAGCCCTCTGTGTAGCACTTGTTTCCCCCTGCATTTGCCACATTGAATTTTAAGAGCTTGCTTCATTATCTTATCTTACCCACTAGACTATGAACCCTCTGAGGGTAAGAAATGGTGCCTTTTCTTCCTTCATTTAACACAGTGAATAAACACCTATAATAAACATTCAATATTTGTCCCATGCCTGAATGCATTAATACCATCTTGAGGTAGAACAGGAAAGACTTCCTGGAGAACATAACATTTGAGCTGGGCCTTGAAGAATGAATGAAGTCAGTGGGAATTCCAGTTCAAGATGGCAGATTGAATATATACATTTACTTCCATTCCCTCCTGAAACTTCCCTAAAAAACCACTAGAATGATTATGTTAAAAAGGCATGAAGCATGGCCAGGCGTGGTGGCTCACACCTGTGATCCTAGCGCTCTGGGAGGCCGAGGCAGGCAGATCACTCAAGGTCAGGAGTTTGAAACCAGCCTGAGCAAGAGCAAGACCCCATCTCTACTACAAAGAGAAATAAATTAATTGGCCAACTAATATATATAGAAAAAATTAGCCGGGCATGGTGGTACATGCCTGTAGTCCCAGCCACTCGGGAGGCTGAGGCAGTAGGATTGCTTGAGCCCAGGAGTCTGAGGTTGCTGTGAGCTAGGCTGACACCATGGCACTCTAGCCCAGGCAACAGAGTGAGACTCTGTCTCAAAAAAAAAAAGGCATGAAGCAATTATGACAATGAGAATAAGATGATAGGAACAACATTTTAGAAGCTGAACTGCATCAAGAAGAGTGGTAATTAATTCAGACCTGAAGAAAGCTGAGTCCCAAGCCAGTAGTGGAGAAAGCTAAAGAGCAACCCATTTTGTACTATGAAAATCCTCAAAGGTTTCAGGAGTTGAAAGCACCAGGTATTTCTGGAACTGGGGGCACAGGGGGTGCTGAAAAGAAAAGGGTTAGTCAAACGTTTAAGAGTCATTCTAGGCCAGGCAAGGTGGCTTATACCTGTATTCCCAACACTTTGGGAGGCTGAGGCTGAAAGATTGCTTGAGGCTAGGAGTTCAAGACCAGCCTGGGCAACATAATGAGACCCCCATCTCTATAAAAAATAAGAAAAATTCCCTGGGCATGGTGGTGCATGCCTGTATTCCCAGTTACTCAGGAGGATCACTTGAGCCCAGAAATTTGAGGCTGCAGTGAGCTAGGATCACACCACTGTATTCCAGCCTGAGTGACAAAGTGATACCTTGTCTCAAAAAAAAAAAGATCATATTCTTTTTTTTTTTTTTTTTTGAGACAGAGTCTTGCTTTGTTGCCCAGGCTAGAGTGAGTGCCGTGGCATCAGCCTAGCTCACAGCAACCTCAAACTCCTGGGCTCAAGCAATCCTACTGCCTCAGCCTCCTGAGTAGCTGGGACTACAGGCACGTGCCACCATGCCCAGCTAATTTTTTCTATATATATATTAGTTGGCCAATTAATTTCTTTCTATTTTTAGTAGAGACGGGGTCTTGCTCTTGCTCAGGCTGGTTTTGAACTCCTGACTCGAGCAATCCACCCAGCTTGACCTCCCAGAGTGCTAGGATTACAGGCGTGAACCACTGCGCCTGGCCAAAAAGATCATATTATAAGATCCCCTCCCTTACTGTGCAACCAGGTGCCAGC